TGCTCCTGGAGGATCGCGCAGGCTCTGTATGCGTCCTGCGCATGCGTGGAAGTGCAGAACTCGTCAAAACCGGGTAAGGAGCGCGGGTGGGCGGGCCCTTCGCCGTTCCTGGAAGTTACTTACTTCCGGGTTCGCCGACCAACCGGTTCGCAGGGACCGCCGCGAACCGGTTGAAACCCACCCCTGCTGCTTACCAATCAAAAGAAGAAAACAGTGAGCATGGCAACGCAATCGGGATAACTTATAACATCTTTTTAGGAAGTGATACTTTCCTAATTTTTCCTGTTTCCAGTTAAGAGTAGGTTGTTGTTGGTTTTTTTAAAATTTTGGAACCCCCCCCCCTTACATAACTCTTCTAGCTCAAAAATATCTCTTTGTATGCACTGCATACTTTATTTATTCCCACTGATTTTCAACAATATTCAATATTTTGAAAGCCGTTTCAAAACAATCATCTTTCTTTCCTATAAATACTTCATGGTTAATTTTAAAGAATGCTTTGGATTATTGTCTTACTGAAATATCTAACCTTTCGACTTCGATATCTTCACCAAGTACTGAATGCCATCATGCACAAGTTGATGTTTACACTCTTATTATTCTTTCCAGCCTCACAAATATTTCTTGTGTCTCTGGACATTGAAAAACTCCAAAGGATAGGACTACTTTAATGCTATTCTACTGAACACTTTTCTTCAAATGTTTCACATCCTCCCCCCCCTCCAATTTTTGTGTTGCTGTGGCCAGGGCTGAAAAGTTCAATTTTTGTTTCATTAGTTCCAAATAACTATATTCCTAAATGTTTGAGGCTTAAAGGTTTTTTTTCTGAGGGGAAAAGCATAGTTTAGAAAGCACAAATTTATTTTGTGATGGTTTCAGAGAAAAGGTTAGATCGTGGCTGTATGTGTAATCATTTACTATGGACCTAGAGATAATTACTACAGTGTCAGCTAAATTTTTCAGCAGGTTGTTTCCAGTGATTCATGGCTTCTGTTTTGCAGATCTGACTAGCTGTGTGACAGTTTTAGCAGAAATTTCTCTTGGTCTTCCAGATTTTCCATTGCAGAAAGTGTTTTGATTTTTTGCAGATTTCTCCTACTTTTAAGTGTGATGTTACAATACGTTGCTTAGAAGAAGCAAAGTAGACAGAGGACAATCACAACTGGAGAGGGAAAGAAGGTAGCACTATTTGTTCTCCTGGCAAAGTATCTTTTATCTAGCTAGCGAATCTTAATGAATCAATTCTTTTTTTACCATCTTCAACTTTGGAAAATAGCAGAACTAATTAACTGCAAAAACAGGACCAAATTTCTGCTTCTGCCGTATTTATTTTTTCCCCATTCAACAAATGATAGGATATAAATAGTCGATATGGATTCAATTGTACAGGAAGATGCCTTTTAACTTTCTACCACAAAGAGGTTGTAGCTTCTGTTCATTTAGATATTGATGAAACAGACAACTTTAACCAGAGATGCCTAAACTTTTGTGTACAACTGTATATGCAAATAAATCAACTGATGTGGAGTTATGAGCCAATTTAAGTGTTTGTGCAAGCTTTTAACTAAAGCAGACATCTAAATTCTTGGCTAGCCAACCACGAATTTCTATTATATTACAGTTTGCAAAACATACTCTGCTAGTAATATTTCCATTTGCAAAGAAATAAAATTAGTACAATATACAATAGAACATACTTCTAAATGAATTATAACATATTGCTTAGATAATTTGCCTTAATTTTGGGTTTAATGAACAGCAATAATACTTACTACAGATAAACTGAAATCTTCATGGATGCTTCCAAATAAATCTGAAGATGACATGTCGCCTGGAAGACTAAGGCATTTTGCAAGTAGTCAGTGATTAACCCTTCTTGATATTAGGATAAACCGGCCTTATAAATTTATATTTGTTTCCTAATAACCCTAATGAGTTTAACTGACATGGATTCTTAAAAAAAACCCAGTTAAGTATACAGACGGAAGCTCTTATCTTCCATGCTAAAAGTTTTTAATTTTTTTAAAAAAAGAGACCTGAAGTTAATGAAGGGTTATTTTTCCTTTGCACAGAACCCGTATTGAAGAACATGAATTCACTAGAGTTGGGCAGCAAATTTAAATATATAGTTATATAATAAAAATGGAAATTATAGTTTATGATTTGTCAAGCCTTATTTAAAGAATTAATTTTCCAAATTTTTAGAAACATGAACCATAAGCTAACAACGTCTATTGTTTGCATACTATACTAAAACATGTTTTGATTCAATGTAAAAGTTGTTAAATTATTTAGCTGTGTCAAATAAATGACACAAATTGTTTGTAGAATCTCTAAAATTAGTGATCTATGAATAAAGTGTTCCTAATAATCATTTCGAGGTGAAATATGACTGAAAACTGAAAAAGTTTGCTAGATTCTAGAATTAATTACTGTCAAAAAACTCATCACCCAATTATTTCACTTACTGGGTAGTGTCTATATCACTGTCAGGCTTCGTGCTCAGCTGCTCCAGGCAGTCAATGAATACCTGCAAAATAAATAAAAACAATATATCTAATACCATAATTTATTACAAGTAGTGATAATCAAGGTAAGGAATTTAAGTAGTATTTTCCAACCTTTCATCTCTAACAGAGTATTTTTTATTTCATTCAAACAGTTTAATTTTAGCTGAACTTTATTGTCTGATACTTGTTTTTAAATCTACCTCTTATTCTTGGTAAACTGAATAAAATAAACAGTTATGGCTTTCAATCCACAAGCAAAGTGGAGATTTTATCGTCACTACACCTCCGAACAACGTGATGATTTTCATTGCTTTCCTATACAAATGTGTGTTTCTGTGTCCCACATGATAGAAACATGTATTCTCTAATTTATTTTTTCTTTCTAAGGCAAACCATACAATATTTAATAGATATTTCCTTCTTCAGTTCACCAAGTCTCCATCTACATTTAAATGGATTTCATCTAAACCTGCCCTCAAACCAGAAACAGGCATGGGAAACAGAAAAATGGCAGTTCATAATTAGCAGGAAATGTCGTATCACTTCCTCATTCCTGTCGTTCCCCCCAATATTTCTTTTGAATGTCTCTAAATCTCAAATACAAATGTTAGCCTTCATAATTTCTGTAAATACAGTATTTTCTTCTTTTCACTGTGGTTTTCTGCCTTAAAAAATGAAAAAAAAATGCTGAACAGAAATATGCAGTATTTTGGATTTGAAAGCAGAGAGATGCTTTGGCGTACGAGGGGTTCCCTTGTAGCAGCTGTCTGTAGCTCCTTAAAACATCTGTTTCTTTCCTTGGAATTGCAGAAAGGTGCAGAGACATTCATGTCTCTGCATGCTGCGAGAAAACCTTTTGCCTATGGATTTTAAGCAAATCCATTTTAGGCAAAAATGAGCAAAAAAACCAGCCAGTTTTTCGCAAAAATGGGCCTGTTTTTTGTCAAAAGAAAAAAGGGCATGAATAGGCTTTAAGAGGCTTATAGAATGCCAGTTTTTTGCTCATTTCTGCCCTCCCCAGCCCCCAGGAGCTCTCTGAAAGCCTTCTAAAAGCTTTCACGGCCATTTTGGTGAAGGGGAAGGGGTTTCGGGAGGCAAAAAATGCTGTATTCAGTGTGTAAGACGCACCCAGATTTTCAGCCTCTTTTTTGAGGGAAAAAGGTGCTTCTTACACTCCGAAAAATACGGTAAATCCTACATTAGTCTAGCCCAGTGTTTCTCAACCTTGGCAACTTGAAGATGTCCGGACTTCAACTGGTCATTGAGAAACACTGGTCTAGCCAATATGCATCTGATACAGTGGGCAGTAGCTCATGAAATTTTATGCCTTTTCAGAAACCATTTTTAGTTGGGAAAGGTGCTACCACAGTCCGTTCTTTTTTGCTGACTCATCCATGTACTCTGCTTGGTAAATTACTTTCCTATTGTTTTCTTTTGCCTAGGCATCCAAGATCAGCTAGATACTGTTTACATAGTGAACAAAAAATAAATCATCACCTTGGACCTGTTCTCAGCTGTCTAGAAACTTCATGCATTTTAAAAAAAAACAACACCAAATGTTCTTACTTAGCTTTATCTCCTCATTTCAGTAGTTGGTTCTAGATAACTGTATTGTTCTCTACAGTTCTCTATAGCTCTAGATAACTGTATTATTATTCTTTGGTTAATCTTTGGTGAGATTCACAGCCTTTGGGGCTGGCTGGTAGCTCAACAGCTCGAGGACCTAGGAACTGTTAAGGTAACGTCGGAGGATATAAGCTGTTCCAAGTAGGGTGGTTTTTTGTAGATCAGAATGTTCAAATCTGATAAATTTAAAATTTCCAAATAGCAAGGTAGCCCTTTAGGTATTGCTCCAAGGGCTCCAATTACAATCGGGACAACACACGATTTCTTTTTCCACAGTCGCTCAACTTCAATTTGCAGGTCCCGGTACTTTGTGATTTTTTTCTTGCTGTTTATCTTCAATTCGTGCATCTCCAGGTATTGCAATGTCAATGAACCATACTTCTTTTGTACTACTACTACTACTACTACTACTACTACTACTACTACTACTACTACTACTATCATCATCATCATCATCATCTACGGGTAAAAGTTTCATTCAGGTCCCACAGTCTATGGAAGAAGTACAGAAACAGCAGAGTACATGTTGACAAAGAATTGAGAAAAATTTGATTTGGAGCTTCTTTTAAACGAAAGAAGAGGGTCCATATTTTGAGTTACCTCAAAATAACTCCTCAGTTATTCTGTTCAGTTCTAATTTGTTAATAATAAAGTTCAGTACTAGTGGCACAAAAATGGATGATATTTATATACAGTAACTTCTCAAGCACATGTAACTGAACATACTTATTAGCAATAGCACTTATATATCACTTCCCAGTACTTTACAGCCCTCTCTAAGCGGTCAGGATATTGCCCCCAATAATCTTGGTCCTCATTTCACCGACCTCGGAAGGATGGAAGACCCTATTAATTTATATCCTTCTCTTTTAAGTCATACATCACCTGCATGATATTAATGCTCAGATGGCACACGTCCTCCTGTATTTTTGTTTGCTGAAAGACCTAAAGAAAAACAATTATTGGAACAACTGAGTGAAATAGCTTCACATGAAAAAGCCGATGCATTTCCGATGCATTTGTCTTGCTCTTAACTAACAGCTTGCAGCTACCCAATGCACTCTCTAAATAGGGACTAAAAGAATCAATAACCAGAAGCTAGATTTAATTTCTTATGACATCTTTCAAGTATTCTGCTACACAGATCCAGGAGTCTGATCTTATGAATGCTTTACGAGGCACTGAAGTTTGGATGCCAAGTGCATAGATCTGCAGATAAGTCAATGGATATATGTATGTTAATTCTCTTCCAAAATAAATTTACTAAGGATGCCAAACACTAGTTTTCTCTTCAAGTTGTAGTAAAAGAGAACACATATGAAGCTGATTGCTTTGATTGTATATTGTAATTACTATTGTGGCTTGATATGTATTCTGAAACAGTTACCTAGATTATTTTTAGTGATTTCTCATTTTGAAGTAGTCATGGAATCAAATAATGATTTTGAAGAACAGGTTATCAGCTTAATAATTTAATTTGCAAGAATGGTGAATGCTTACTGAATGTTTAATTATTCGACACACAATATGAATAGACTGCACCAAGTTTCACCTGCAAAGTATAGCTTTAAATTCTGCTTTATATTATTAATTATTAAATGGAAGAAAAAAAGATGTATTAAACATTACTTACGCTGGTCTCCCCAGGTTTACAGTCCAAAACTCCTTTAAGTGACTGGATAGAATGTATGACACATTGTTCAAACTGTGATGGCTAAAAGGAGAAAGAGGAAACTTAGACTAGCAATAAAAAAAACCTTATTTCCTAATTTTTAAAATTATAAATAAAAATCACTGTATTAACTTTTAATTATACATCCAAGTATTTGTCCACTTAAGGATGAAGACCTCAAGTTTGCGTACTACTTATTAGAGTGTTCAAGTGCACAAAAGTATCTGAAACTGTGTGTAAATCTAATAATATAATGTCATCGGGATCCCTGAAATAATCTAATAATACGGTGGCCTTTATTTTTCAGAATTCATCTAGCAGAACCAATATATTTAAAGGGGATTACATTAAGGGCAACTTTCATAAATCAGCTTTCATAGAAAGTGCTCATTAATTGCAATCCTATTATAAAATATATTCTACAAATTCAGGGAGAATACACACTTTTCTATTCCCTTTAACAATTCTGTGATTCAGGTTAAAAATTATGGCTAACTGTTGTGGCCCAGCAGGTGCCNATAATAATAATAATAATAATAATAATAATAATAATAATAATAATAATAATAATAATAATAATAATAATAATAATAATAATAATAATAATAAAGCATTCCTTACTGTTACTTTTGGAACCTAGCCACTATTTACCAATGCTAAAATCTAATAGTAATTTGGTTTTGGACCTCATATATACATGAATGGGAAACCACTAGAAAATTCTATAGCTATTAAGTAGACTGAAAAGAGTAGACTTAAAAGCAGTAGTAAGCTGCTCCTGTATTGCTTGCAGACAATATACATAGAGGAGCCCAAGAAATTCCTCCTCTATAAGAGTTCCCAGATATTTGAGATGGCTACTATTCCAATATCTTAACAGTAGACTCACCCTGAGTCTTCCTGTTAGTGTATATTTTCTATATATAGAGAAAGTCATATATTCTATGTATATATAACAGACTCTTGAAAATTATTGCTGTTCTTAAACTAATTTTGCAAAAAATCCCATTTCTAGTAGATAACATCATTTGTAATTACTCTTATTTGCAAGTAAAGAAAATAAGTTACACTGAAATCTATGGGGAAATTATTTTGTAACATATAAAGACTTTTCAGCATACAATGCTGTATCTTAGCATTAGTTCTAACTCTATTTTTTATAATTATGTTATGCATGACCAGTCTCCATTTCTTTGCCAATTGTATTCTCACTGCTGCCTTTAGTTGATGGTTTTTATTATTGTTATGGTGAGGAATTGAATGCTAATAAATTTCTTGTCTGACTACTTTCGTATTATTCTCTATCATTTTTATAAAACTATGAAGTTCATGAATAAATATGTGGATACCTGTAATTTTTATTAGAAGGGGCTGAGGTAGTTGTTACCTGTTGGAAATACCATTACAAACATAAGAAAATAGTAATTATCTTGGGTGACATTGTTTTTTCATGGATGTTTCTAATTAATATGCAATATGTTTTGTTTCTTTCATGCTTTGCAATTTGTACCCCCCAAATACTGTATCTTTTTTTACCCAATCAGTAAAAAGATAAATTTTGATCTACCACAGTTTCTTTCTGAAAACTAGTTACTTTGATAACAATAGTTCAGAATGTAAACTAAAGTATCACCCAAAATCATCTATGGAGATTTTCAATTATCCAGGTCATGGTTATCCCACAGTTGCTTTTCAGAAAGCAACTGGGCTTTCCTGGTTTTTCCTTGAAAATGTTTCACTTCTCAGCCAAGAAGCTGAGCATCGGACCTGGTACCTGAGAGACCGCCTCCTGCCGATTACCTCCCTCAGACCAATTAGATCTCACAGGTTAGGTCTCCT